CTGTACTATGGGCAAGTGCTCAATTACGCTTGCTTTCAAACTGATCGAGTACTCAACTCAATTTCCATCAGACTGCAGACTTTGTTAAAGTTGGTGTTCAACATCAGGAAGGGAAATAGGTGTGTAGCTGAAAACCAGAACTGGTCTTTGGGCACTACAAGTGCAACAGCATTTCATGCTCATAAACTTTTCTTTTTGGAAGCTAGCAATGTCCATGCTGTAGATTGGTGCTAGTGTAGTTTTCAGATAGTTTAGTAGCAATCCAGCAATTTTATGTTAACTACATTGTTTCTAAGGTTAAAGCGTATTCCAGTTGAAACCTGGAACACAAGGAATCTTATATTATCTGAAATATATTTATTTTTTAATTCCTAATTGAGTTAATGTTGAAACAATTTGTTGATTAATAATTCAACTCACAATTATCGCCTAAATGAGTAAAACTTTAGACTGTAAATTTGGTAAATTTTCTCTTAAATTTTACAGATGGAAAATTTCCAAATTAACCTGCTATTCCACCAGAATTATTTCTGACAAACAAGGAATCAATTTTGACAAACACGTTTTCGAACATCGGACGCAACAGATGGATTTTCGAACATTTTAATTTATTTTCGAAGTGTCAAATTTAAGAGGAAATTCAGCGTTTAACCAACCGATGGAAACTAACGATTTAAAATTGGCTCACTACTTGACTAGCCTATTGGTCCCAAGCAAATCGATTAACGTACCCCATTCTAGTCGAAATTGTAGTACTACACTATGTTTGTTTTGATTTGCAATGAAAGTTTGACTATGTGTTTAAAGAGCCTAAATTTATAAAGAGGCGACATGTCAAAATTGGAACAATCGATTGTCTGTCAAAGTCATAGGAAAAATCATTCCAATCGAGCCTGTCAAATAGATAAGATGTCGTCTCTTTATAAATTCAGGCTCTTTAGACGTGTTGACAGAACGAGGGAAAAGCAACTAGTGGAAAAATATGCATTAACGAGGGATGCCCCGGTCGCAAATCGGTTGCTTGGGAATGTCCATGATAGAGGGTATAAGCATAGAGGTAACACTAAGACCAGAAGGTCCCGAAGAAACGAGCTCAACGTTTTGGCTCAGCTCTGGTACTATCTTCGGTCCCAAGCTAATCGATTCACCCCTCGAAACATAGGAAAATCCACTAACCCCACAATTTATCTGTCAAACTTTCATTGCAAATCAAAACAAACATAGTGTAGTACTACAATTTCGACTAGAATGGGGTACGTTAATCGATTTGCTTGGGACCAATAGGCTAGTCAAGAAGTGAGCCAATTTAAAATCGTTAGTTTCCATCGGTTGGTTAAACGCTGAATTTCCTCTTAAATTTGACACTTCGAAAATAAATTAAAATGTTCGAAAATCCATCTGTTGCGTCCGATGTTCGAAAACGTGTTTGTCAAAATTGATTCCTTGTTTGTGAGAAATAAGTCTGGTGGAAGAATCAAGAGATGCATTCGCAAAGTTGACATGAAGGCCGTACAACGCTCCTGTTCCGACATCAAACGGAAGCTTCGCCGAACACCCGATTACGGACCGTTTTCAAATGTTCACTAATTGTTTTTCAACAATGGACAATGTATCTTTAATTTCAATAAATCAGATCTTCTTCAAGTATGTTTGTCTTTTTTTGACAGCTTGAGCAAGAAATTCCAAAATTTTAGTTGCCACCCGTTATTCGGGTTGTATCCGTTGAGTCTCGCTGTTTCGAAGATGTAGTGTAATTCCTTAACCTTTCCTGTATCGCTGAGTGGAACATGTCTGCATCCGATGATCACGTGGGCGAAGGCGGTCATTTTCAGCTGGAACAAATGGTTTGATGTATAGGGGATAACTCTTTTGGTGCTTGTTGGTTTGCTGTAAGTTACTACCTAGGAGACATCAACGAGTAAACAGCGGAGTACCTGCTCCTACAGGAAATTAAATTTAAGATTACCTAGCTTCTAAGTGAAAATGTACCTGTGTTAATAAATATTCGGTAAAATGCGACGTTTTTCTTCAGTCGAGCATTAGTACAAGACACTGAAGAAGTCTGCACATTGTAGACGAAATACGCGTATCTGTCAAGGATAAGCAAATAAGGTAGTGGAATTAAATGGAAATTACTAATCCTTCTCTCTCTCTTTATACAGGTGTTCCACTAAGACGCCCACATTCATCAGGATCCAACGTGATCAAACCATTTGTGCAACCTAACCTTCATCAATCTTTATGTAGTAGGCCTAGATGTAGTAGGCCTTGCCTGACTGTCATAAGTTAGAGATAGATTCTTTATCCGACCACCAACCAAGATAGACTTATAGCGAATTCGTTTATTATTCAGTTCCAACCTGGATCGGGTATCAAGATTGGGTCAGCTTGTTTTCTGACAAACGTCAGTTTGCTCGTTTGTTTTTAAAACCTAGCTCAGGTTGAGGCTCACACTGACAAAAAGTTCGGTTTCGCACTGGGTTGGAACTGGTGTTAACCCCGATAATAAACGAATTCGCTATTAATAAATAGTAGCTCTTAACAACAGCTTGTTTTACTTGTTGGCCTTGGTAACGGATATAACAATTGGCGACGAGGAAAATTTTGGAAGCACCTCGAACCTCGAAGCAAGAAACCTCAAGCAAGAAAATGTCTGACGAGGATCTTCGGAACGCCATCCTGCAGCTAACGAATCTCATCACGAGGCAGCAGCAGCAGATTGAAAAGCTGGAAAATCGGGGAAATCCGACTGCTGGCAGTGAGAAGATTATTGAGTCCTTGGCAAGCGGGATCCAGGATTTCCAGTACGATCCGGACGGAGTAGTTTTCTTCGATGGCTGGTATGCGAGGTACGAGGATGTCTTTACAAAGGACGGCCAATCCCTGGATGACGCCGCTCGAGTGAGATTGCTTCTTCGCAAGTTAAGCACGCCTCTGCACGAGAAGTACGTCAACACCATTCTTCCCAAGCATCCCCGGGACTTCACCATGGATGAAACCGTCACGAAACTGAAGAAACTGTTCGGTCGACAGAAGTCGGTTTTTCATTCCCGTTACCAGTGCCTCCAGTATGCAAAAAGTGACGCGGATGACTTCACATCGTATGCTGCCATGGTGAACAAACACTGTGAAGCGTTTCAGCTGTCCAAGCTCACACCGGACCAATTCAAAGCTCTCCGTTTCGTCTGTGGACTCCAATCGCCACGGGATGCGGACATACGAGCTAGGTTGATCTCGAAATTGGAAGCCCACGAAACCGCAGCCAACGAATTGGGAGAAGCCACCAGCAAGGTAACCCTGGAGAACCTCGTGGAAGAATGCCATCGCGTGGCCAATCTCAAGCAGGACACATTGATGGTGGAGAACAAAGAAGCACGCAACGTCAACATTGTTTCTCGCAACCAGAATAATCCTGCCTCAAAAAGGAACCAAAAAGTGCCGAAAACGCCATGTTGGAAGTGTGGCGACCAGCACTATGTTCGTGAGTGTCCGTTCGCTTCGCACACCTGTTCCAGATGCAAGCAACAAGAACACAAGAAAGGTTATTGCAACAGCAACAAGAATGCGCCGTCGAAACCGTTCAAACAGGCCAAATCCAAAGAGAACGTGAAGACAAATAGCATCTACACGGTTCGCAACATCGGAAGCAAGCGGAAGTTCATCCCGGTCGAGCTCAATGGTGTAGCAGTCAAACTTCAACACGACTCGGCGTCCGACATCACCATAATCTCAGAAGAAACATGGATCAGCATCGGACAGCCACCCACTCAACCGACGGAAGAATCTGCAGTTACAGCTTCTGGTGGCAATCTCAACCTTCTCGCTGAGTTCCAGACCGAGATCACCATCAAGAATGTTACCAAGACTGGTCGCATTTTCATCTCAAGCAACGCTGAACTCAACGTTCTAGGATTCGAGACTATGGATCTGTTCGATTTGTGGTCTGTGCCGATAAGCAGCTTGGTCAACGTCGTACACCAACGTTCTGATCAGTTCACCAATCAACTCAAGCAATAGTTTCCGGAAGTTTTTCGAAGCACGCTGGGTAGATGCACAAAAGCGTAAGTGAAGTTGTACCTCAACGTATAATTTCTCCAGTTCAATTCTAGGACTGGGCAGCACCAATAGTCGTCGTACGCAAGTCGGACAATGTATCAGTCCGTGTATGTGGCGATTATTCGACGGGGCTGAACAACGCGCTAGAATATGACCATCATCCACTGCCTCATCCTGACGACCTCTTTGCGGAACTAGCTGGAGCACGTTACTTCACTCATCTCGATTTATCTGACGCTTACCTACAGGTCGAGGTCGAGGAGGAATCGCGAAAGCTACTCACGGTCAACACGCATCGTGGACTGTTCCAGTATAACCGACTACCCCGCGGAGTCAAGTCGGCACCCGGCGCTTTCCAGCGCATCATCGACAGCATGGTGGCCGGCATCCCTCGAGTCAAGCCGTATTTGGACGACATCCTCATCGCTGGTCGCACCAAGCAGGAAAACGATCGCAGTCTCTACGCTGTTCTCGAGCAGATCCGTGAGTATGGCTTTCACCTACGCCTCGAAAAATGTCGTTTCGCACTCTCCCATATCAAGTTTCTCGGACACATCGTGGATAAGGATGGTATTCGGCCTGACCCTTCAAAAACAGAAGCCATTTCCAAGATGCAGTCTCCGAAGGATGTCCAGCAACTCCGTTCCTACCTCGGTGCTGTCAACTACTATGGTAGATTCGTTAAGCAACTCAGGGCTCCTCTGGACAGCCTCCTCAAGAAAGATGCACGCTGGAACTGGACCAAGAATTGCCAGAAGTCTTTTGAGCAGCTCAAGGCCATTCTACTTTCCGACCTGCTGCTTACACACTACGACCCATCCAAGGAAATCGTTGTTGCAGCAGATGCATCGAAGTACGGCCTTGGCGCTGTCATCATGCATCGATTCCCGACCGGTGAAGTGAAGGCAATTGCGCACGCCTCGCGCTCACTGACCCCAGCATAGATGAACTACGGACAAGTGGAGAAGGAAGCATTGGCCCTGATATTCGCTGTCACCCGTTTCCACAAAATGCTGTATGGACGACACTTCCTCCTGCAAACCGATCATCAACCGCTACTCAAGGTTTTCGGCTCAAAGAAAGGTATTCCTGTTTACACAGCAAACCGTTTGCAGCGCTGGGCCTTTACACTTCTGCTGTACGATTTCGACATCCAACACGTTTCATCGACGAATTTTGGCTATGCAGATTTTCTATCCCGGCTAATGTCATCGCAGCATAGACCAGATGAGGATTACGTCATAGCCGCCGTGTGCGTCGAATCTGAAGCAAAAGCAGTTCTCGACGACACCATCAGCAACCTTCCAGTCACGCACCAGATGATTGTGGCTGAGACGCGAAAGGATCCAGTTCTTCAGCAAGTGGTGAATTTCCTTAACGAAGGTTGGCCAGCAAATGCGAAGCAAGTTGCTGATCCTGATGTCAAGAAGTTCTTCGCCAGACGAGATGGACTTCAAGTTGTCGACAACTGCGTTATGTTCGACGATCGAATCGTCGTCCCATCAAAGTTTCGAAAGCGGATCGTTCGTCAACTGCATCGTGGACACCCAGGAATGGACCGAATGAAGTCTCTGGCCCGAAGTTACATCTACTGGCCTAACGTTGACGACGATGTGGAGCAATTTGTCCGTCAGTGCACTGCATGTGCTGAAGCAGCGAAGTCCCCGACAAAAGCAACCTTGGAGTCATGGCCTCTTCCGGACAAGCCATGGCAACGTGTCCATATCGATTTTGCTGGTCCGATCCATGGATACTACTATTTCGTCATGGTAGATGCTTTCTCTAAGTGGCCCGAAGTTTTTCGCACTCAATCCGTTACCACAACTGCAACCCCGAATATGCTGCGTGAAACGTTTTCTCGTTACGGCAACCCAGACACATTGGTCTCAGACAACGGAACTCAATTCACCAGCGAGCAGTTTCAACAGTATTGCCGTGCAAATGGTTTCACCCATCTCCGCACTGCTCCCTACCACCCGCAGTCCAACGGCCAAGCGGAGCGATTCGTAGATTCACTCAAGCGTGGCCTCAAGAAGCTAGCCAAGGGGGAAGGATCAGCCACACTGGAGCACATGCAGACATTCCTTTCGGCGTATCGTTCAATCCCAAACCGAAACACACCGCAGTCGACGTCTCCAGCAGAAGCATTCCTGGGAAGACCAGTGCGCACCACTTTGGGCCTACTGAAGAAACCTGTTCCTGTAACTGAAGCTGTCAAGAACCACAAACAAAACGAACAGTTCAATTGGCGGCATGGAGCAGTCAAGCGCGAGTTTGAAGAAGATGACCTGGTCTACGTTGAACAGCATCGCAGAAACGCCAAGTCCTGGATTCCTGGTTGAGTCATCGAACGGAAAGGTTCCGTCAACTATATCGTTGCACTGGACATGAACGGGAGACCGAAGCTGGTGAGGTCGCATGTAAACCAAATGCGCCCTCGTCACACTTCTGATGATCCAGAGCAAGCGACGCAGCAACTACCATGGGAAATCCTGCTTGATGAAATTCAAGATGAAGCTGTACCGTTGGATCCAGAAGTGCCATTAAATCACGATGTCCCTATTCCTGTTGGTTCCGTATCACTCGAAGCTGATGGTCAAGTGGCAAGTACGTCTGGCGAAAATCTTTTTTCGACAATCGGTCATGAACCTGTTGCTCAAGATGGAGAACTTCAGTCCGCACAAAAGCCCGTGTCATCTGAAGCAGTTGGAGACTTTATTCGACGTACTGTACGAAAATCAAGAATTCCAAGATGGCTCTCTTCCTATGACATTTTCTAAAAAAGGGAGATGTAGTAGGCCTAGATGTAGTAGGCCTTGCCTGACTGTCATAAGTTAGACCTTATTGGGCACATTGAGATCGACGCCAGTAAGTTATTACGGCATATTGGACACGGAATGGAATAATGGACAAAACACGTCACAATGGATTGGATACCACGCTACAGGGCTGACGGTCATGCTATTCTACTCCCTTGAAATGGCGGGTGGGCTAATAGCAACAATCAATACGAAACTAACGATTTTAAATTGGCTCACCACTTTAGTAGCCTATTGGTCCCAAGCAAACGATTAACGTACCCTATTCTAGTTGAAATTCTATTACTACACTATGTTTGTTTTGATTCGCTATGAAAGTTTGACAGATAACATCAGGGGTGTGTGGATTCATGCAGAACATGCAGGGGTGAGTGAAATAGCTTGGGACTGCTTGGGACCGTTGTTCTGGTACTGAGTGAGCCAAAAATAATAATGATTTTCTTCGGGACCCAGTGGTCTTAGAGTTACCTCTATGCTAATAGTGCGGCTGCCCCGTTCTGGTAAAAGCTTGGCAGGCCTCCGTTCAAAACTTCAAAACTCGTCACCAATTGGTAGTTGGTGAGTAGTAAGCTCAGATGTAACAATCCTAACTTACGCCGATCGGGCTCTGAACACGGCCCCAATAACATTGAAGTCACCAACGAGGAACTCGTAGCAGTGGTGAAAGCATTGGAGGTGAAGAAAGTTCCCGGTCCTGATGGAATCCCCAACGTGGCGTTGAAAGCGGTAATCCAGGCGTCCCCATACATGTTCAAGATGGTGCTGCAGAAAGGCCAAGACGAGGGTTACTTCCCTGACATATGGGAGATACAGAAGCTAGTGTTACAAGTTGATAAAATGCACGAATAGTGAGCACGGATTGTCGGAGAGGTAGTTCAGATTCCGGAAAGGGAGATCAACGGTGGAGAAATTCGGACAGTGGTCGAGAGAGTCGAGAAGTCGTCCAAACTGACTATCTTTGTGAGATCCTGATGAGTTATTTCCAGAACCGGGCTCCATCCTTGGTCCGTCGCTTTGAAACGGGATGTACAACGCTGAAGCAGCCCAAAGGAGTTGAGATCGTTGGCTTTGCGGATGACGTCGTCTTGACGACCGAGGCGATCGCCATGATAGATAACTGGATGCAAGAAGCAATACTGCAGACAGCCCACCACAAAACGGAAGTGCTATTGGTCAGTAACTGTAAAGCGGTGCAGCGTGCAGAAATCACCGTCAGAAAGCACGCCTTAGCCTCGATGAGCGTGTTGAAATACCTGGGAGTAATGATCGAGGACCGACTAAACTTCAACAGCCACGTCGAATATGCCTGTGAGAACGCTTCGAAGGCCATCAACGCTAGAATTATGCCGAACAACGGTGGTCCCATCAGTAGCAAGAGGCGTCTTCTAGTCAGTGTGTCGTCGTCGATACTGGGTTGCAGCGCTGGAAACAAAGCAGAACCAAAGGAAACTGAACAGTACGCTCCGGCTCATGGCCGTACAGAACCATCTCGTCGTAAGCAGTATTTGTTATCGCCGGTGGTGGACAGCGAATGCTACATGCGAAGAGAAACCGGAAGAGTACGGAAAGTGGTGAGCGCGGAGTCGTTGGCTAAGTGGCAACAGGAGTGGAACACACGGAGAAGTCAGCTCCAAACTAACGCAGTTCCTGTCTGGCCACGGCTGCTTACATGCATCGGTTTGGACACGCAACGTCTCCCTTCTGTCCGAAGTGTCGCAACGTGGACGAAACGCCGGAGCATGTGAGTAATTACGCAGATTATGTCGGAGCTCAAGTGGTCTTCTAATTGGTTACTTACCTTGCCATTCAGCCTAAGGTCCGAGTGCCCCCATTCTAAAATTCCTCTTTTTAATCTTTATGAAATTCATTTCGTTTGGTGCACTGAGTTTGCTTTTAGAGTCGAATGAATTTATCAATATATCAAGAAGCTGAATGTTCCAATGAGGGCAAACTCTGCCATTTGAGCCATTAGGACTGTAGCGATCGGACACGGAATAAAGAACGATTAGTTACGAAATACTTAAAATCTTTATTTTTACTTTCAATAGAAAAAAAAACCACGTTCGCGCGTTGATAGCTGCGTAGCAAAGATTGACAGCTTGAGTTCTTTTTCTTCGACGACGACCCGATGGAAGCCAGGCTGACCAGTGTTGCCGGGCGATGCCACAGGGCCCCTCCAGTTACACCAAAAATCTTACGCGATGTCCAGATTGTGTAACTTTCGTACGATGATCATCTTGAGGATATTTCTGCAAATCCGGATTACAAGTGAAAGCCGCTTTTATTCGGTCGACTGAAATGCGCTGCTGTTTTCCAGAAATAAGTACGTCGAAGAACTTATCATCTCGTCTTATTACCTTGAATGGACCTTCATAAGGATGCTGCAACGGTCGCTTCACAGAATCCACTCGTACAAATACATGTGTACATGTTTTCAAATTGGCGTTGACAAAAACTTGTCGTTCTCCATGACGTTTAGTATCGTGCGGTTTTATATTGTCGAACGTACGGTGAAGCATTTGGGCAAACTCCGATCGGTCGATTTCTCCAGGTGCAGACTAAAAGAATTCACCAGGAATCCGTAAAGCCTGACCGTAAACCATATCCGCAACCGAGCACTGCAGGTCGTCCCTAAATGCCACCCTTAGTCCCAGAAGAATCATTGGAAGTTCGTCGTACCAATTCTAAGAGTTTACACACATTATCGATGCTTTCAATGTTCGGTGAAAACGTTCTACGATGCCGTTCGCTTGTGGGTGATAGGCATTCGTACGAATATGGTGAACACCTAACATTCGCGTTAACTCCCGAAAGAGATCGGACTCAAATTGCCGTCCCTGGTCGGTTGTCAGGTTTTCTGGGACTCCAAATCTTGCTATCCATGTTGAGTACAGTGCTTGAGCCACAGATGCTGCAGTCATATCGACAAGTGGAACCGCTTCGGGCCATCTGGTAAAACGGTCAATCATGGTCAGTAGGTAGCGGTATCCTTGTGACGGCGGCAAAGGACCAACCAGATCAATATGAAGGTGTTGGAAACGAGCCTTCGGTAGGTCAAATTTTCCCAACGGAGAGACGGTATGTCGATGCACCTTCGACCGTTGGCAGTCGACGCAGTGTTTGACAAACTCATTTATTTCACGGTTCATAGCTGGCCAAACGAATCGCTCGGAGATTAACTTCCTGCTGCCTCGTGCTCCTGGGTGAGATATTCCGTGTAGGCATTCCATGATGGTTCTCCGTTGAGTACTTGGAACGAAAGGTCGTGGTTTTCCGGTCGAGACGTCACAGTAGATCGGTTGAGAACAACCACTCATCCGTTTTGCTTCAAATTTCAGCGAAGTTAGATTTGGATTGCATCAACTGCTGAAGCTCCGCGTCGTTTTTCTGCTTTCGTCCGATTTCTTCATAGTCCACCGAAGTAGGCGCTAGTATACTCTCCACACGAGACAATGCATCGGCGACGTAATTTTCACTTCCACTGACATGTTGTATATCCGTAGTAAATTCCGAGATGAAACGTAGGTATCGTTCTTCATGCGGTAGCCGAGAGCTGGAATCGGTTGTTAGCGCGTATGTTAGTGGGCGATGGTCAGTGAAGATCGTGAAGTTGCGTCCTTCAAGGAAGTGCCGAAAATATTTCACAGACATTTTCATCGCAGTCAGTTCACGGCCAAAAGTAGAGTATTTCGTTTGGGACATCGAAAATTTTTCGGAATAAAATCCGAGTGGTTCCCAATTCTGACCATTTAGCTGCTGCAAGACAGCCCCCGCAGCAATATTTGAGGCATCGATCATCAGAGCTAATGGTTTCGACGAGTCAGGATAGTGAAGCAGTGCTGTCTCCGCTAATGATTTTTTACAACGCTCGAAGCTTGATGAAGCTGCATCTGTCCACTGTAGTTTACGTATGTCGTTTTTCCTGTTCCCGGGAATAAGCTTCTGCAACTCAGCTTGGATGTCGGATGCATGACGAACGAAGCGTTTGTAGCCGTTGGCGAGTGCCAGAAAGCGACGGAGTTCCTTGACTGTTGTCGGTTTCTCGTAGTCCATAATGGCTTGGACGCGTGACGGGAGCGGCCGCACTCCATCACTGCTGATCAGGTATCCTAAAAATTCCACTTCCTTTTGGGCAAACACGCTCTTACCCAAATTTAGAACGAGTCCGTGCTGGCGTAGGCGGTCAAACACTATGCGTAGATGCTCCTGGTGTTGAGCAAGGGATTCAGAAGCGATGCATATGTCATCTATAAAGACAACAATGAAATCAAGATCACCAAAGATTCGGTTCATGTAGCGCTGGAACGTCTGACTTGCGTTACATAACCCAAATTGCATGCGGGTGAACTCAAACAAGCCAAACGATGTGATGACCGCCGTTTTGGGAATGTCTGCTTCCTCCACCGCAACCTGATGATACGCTCGCTCCAGATCAAGAGTTGTGAAAACGGACTTACCATGAAGCGAATGCAGCAAATCGTGGATGTGCGGTACCGGATAACGGTCAGGTGTAGTGATATGATTTAAGCGACGGCAGTCACCAACGAAACGCCATTTCCCGTTCTTTTTCAGTACACAATGCAAAGGACTTGCCCAACTGCTACTCGATGGTCTGCATATTCCTAGGTCACACATAAGGCGAAACTCTTCCTTAGCAGCTTTAACTTTGTCCGGATGCATTCGTCGAACTTTAGACGCCACGGGTGGTCCACGAGTAACTATGTGATGGGTTACGTCACACTGCGTGACAGAACGAAGCGTCGATGGCAGAGTTATTTCCCGGTACTCCATTAACAAATCGTGGAACGGATGATCGGCACCAACAAGTGTTACACTGTGCAGAGCAGCAGTCATCATACCTCCAGAAGACTTCAATCCTGTCTGGCCATCTATCAGTTTTTGGTTTTTCAAATCGACGAGTATGCCGAAGTGCCTTAAAAAAATCAGCACCGATTATTGGCATCGTCACTTCAGCAACGAGGAAATTCCAGGTGAATCTTCGTCTCAATCCTAGGTCAACAGGAATAAATTTCGTTCCAAATGTCCGAATTCTACTTCCGTTGGCTGCGTGGAGCTGTTGTATAACGGTACCGTTCAATCGATCTCTCCTGGAGGCAGGCAATATTGTTACGTCCGATCCAGTGTCGATTAGAAAGCGTGTATTGTTCGTCCTGTCAAAAATTACCATTCGGCGACTTTCCGACACTCCGGCCACCACCGCCGATGATGGTGGGAGGATGCTAGTTTTTTTAGCTCCATGAACACGGTTCTCGGCACCGCTGAGCATCGTTTCCATATTTCCTATGGTACCAGCACAGTCCGGATCGTGATGACGAACGAGAACCACTTCGGTTTCGCGAAAACGAACGGCCTCGCTCAGGGTTGGGAGCCTTCAGGCGTCGGATTTCCGCTGTGAGAAGTTCGATCTGCTCTGCTAGCTTCCTTTCACCACTGTTGCTGTACGTTGGTTCGTTGTGCACCATGGCAACTGCGGAGGACTGACCGTTGGAGGCGTCGGTGATCTTGTCTGCCATTTCAGCCAACTTCTCGATGGTACCATCGTGGCATGTGAGAATTGGTCGAATGTTTGCCGGGAGGCGTTGAATGAAAATCATTTTGAGCAGATTGTTATCCACGCCCAAACCCGTCGACAACTCTCTCATCTTTGCTAACAGATGCGTTGGGCGCATATCGCCAAGATCGTGGGCCCCCAGCAGCTGTTCGAAGCGGCTTTCAGCAGACAGGGCGAAGCGAGCAATTAGGCGATCTTTCACTGTTTTGTATTTATTTTCCGCTGGAGGAGCAGCTACCAAATCGGCTATGTGACATATAACCGATTGATCCACTTTGGCCACGATGTGGTAAAACTTGGTTTCATCATTGACGATTTTCGCAAGGTGGAATTGCGCTTCCGATTGCGCAAACCACATAGCCGGATCAGTTTTCCAAAAATCCGGTAGTTTTACCGCGACAGATGCTGCTGCGTTGCTCCCGTTATCGTCCGGCATTTTAAGGTTAGTTTCGGCTTTGAGATCGAATATCGGCGAATAACCGTGAAATCGGACCGAAACTTTTAGATTCGCGACATCGCGGGTCACCAATGTAGCGATCGGACACGGAATAAAGAACGATTAGTTACGAAATACTTAAAATCTTTATTTTTACTTTCAATAGAAAAACAACCACGTTCGCGCGTTAAAAGCTGCGTAGCAAAGATTGACAGCTCGAGTTCTTTTTCTTCGACGACGACCCGATGGAAGCCAGGCTAACCAGTGTTGCCGGGCGATGCCACAGGACTCTTGTCCTTGATTTTCCCTGGACTTGATGAGCAATTCATGTTTTCAGCACTTGGGCTCGCGATCTTGACTCGGAACGTGTCTATTTGTAAATGCTATCCAACCGGGATCAAAGAGTTTATCATTCGCCCCTCAGTACTTGAATCAAGCCGGCGTCACTGACCCAACCCGATAACATTAATCGCAAAAAGTGCAGGAACTCAGCGATGAGTAAATTTGCCTCATGTTTTTCCAGGAAAAAAATCCCGAATATCTCAGTCTATTGGTACTACTTCTAGAATGAGTAAAATTTTCGTCAATTTTCCTCTTTCGCCAGCAGATTTTCGTCAATTTTCCTCTTTCACCGGCTGATTTATGATTTATAAACTGAACTCAAATTTGGGTTGATCTCATTGGCCATGTACCACTATTCTGGAAAGAGGATCTGTGGAAGGAAAATTCATCAGATAACAAAAACCCAACAAAAAAACGTAAGAATTCCCTTCGATGTAGGTAGCCCTAAATGAGAAATATAATACTTCAAGACCAACAATTGAAATGACCTCAACTCCATTTTGTAAACAAACCTTGTAAGGCCATTTTCTTGCGAACCGAAGTCCGCAAAGGGAAACCAACAGAATGAACAGGTAGGGGAAATTCTCCTCTACCCGATTGTGGTTTAGGTTTGCGAGAAAATGGCCTTACAAGGTTTGTTTGCAAAATGGAGTTGAGGCCATTTCAACTGTTGGTCTTGACTTATTCTAGTAGACTATCGAAAAATCATTCCCAGTGTTTGTTACCATGCCTGCTGTGATATATTATAGAGGTAATCAAATTCCGATTCTTCTGTTTCCCGGCGTTTACACCCTTGGTTCCGGTCGAATTTATTGTCGCTTTGATTTGTTCGTCATTCAGCAACACTTCAACCATGCCATCATAAACGCCTTCCCATCAGGAAACTATCCTCCGTTGTTTACTTCTTCTTTCATATTTACCTTCTCTTCGTTGTCTCTTTTGCTACTTTGCTAGGATTCGTCCACAAAATAAAAGTAAAAACTCTAAAAACATCCGTCTCAAACAGACTGATTCGGCCGTGCTTCGCTAACAAAGAGACTTCTCATACACAATTAAAATGCTGTCACGGCCATTGAAAATTCTCCTGCTGTTCGCTTCATTTGGCTTCCTTCAAAAAACGGATACTGGCGCTTTTTTTTTTTTTTTTGTTCTGTGGCGATGATTAATCCTTTCGCCGGTGGATCGGAATGACGGCTTTGTCGAAGGGTGATTTGTACTTGATGCCCGAATCGGTGAAAAACTTGTCCGGAATGCCCAGACTGCACAGGTACAGCCGGCCGGTGACAACTTCCGGCCCGAGGTCGTTCAGTGGCAAGATGGGCAGAATTGAGCATTTGGGCGAAATGGCGTCCAGGCCACCGTCTGGCGGGTCAATCACCAGCACCGGAGCACGGCTTTCCGAAAGCCACTTGCGCAGTGGTTCGGCCGGGCGGTGCGATTTGATGGCCGCAATAACCAGGTCCGAGGATGGAAGCGCTGTGGAGTGGCAAAAGAAAGCGTCATTAGTACCATTTTTGGGTTCCCGTGCTAGTCCTTACCATTAACATTAAACGTAAAGAGATTCCCTGTGGCCGCGTACAGTTCCAGCTCGTGGCTGGTCCGGGTGGACTTGGTCGCACAGGATACGTACACCACCACCTTGAGTCCGTGGCAAGCCAACAGCCGGCCGGTGGTAATTCCTATCTCGCTCAGTCTTGCATTGTACGGTTCATCACAAACGATCACAATCTTGGGCCACTGGTGCTGATTGTTGGGCGTCAGGCGCCGTGACCCTCCGAGCAGCTGCAGTGCAATCTCGGTAGCTCCTCGGGCTAGGAGATCATTTTGGCGGTCCATCACTAGGCCATGGTTCTCAGCCAATTGCTGAATCAGGTTCCTAGTGCTACGTGGAACCGACGGTATTACCAAACCTTCATCCGTTACGTACTCTTGGCAGGTTCCACCGTTCGCGGCTGATGTTTCTACTACTAAAGTCTCTAACTCAATCTGTCGATATTGGATCGGTTCCGATGCGAGGACATTTTCGTCATGGCGATACTTTCTATTTGCAGAGGAAACCGTCTGCCGGAGCAGGTCCGGTTTCTGCTGAATGGCATCAATCTCATCCCAGATGGCTTGCTTATCAAACAAAGCCAAATTCTTCTCGAAATCAAATTCCTCATCCATCATCGGATCATCCACGGGAGTTCCGAAAGCCGAATTCTTATTCGCAAACCGGTTCCCATTGCCGTTCCCATTCCCGTTGCGAGCCTTTTTCTTTTGGGTATCATTTTTGTACGATGCAAAGGAATTTCCCTTCTGCGAGGAAGGCCCGCCATTAATCTCAATCGGACGGCTTGTGCTCTTGGCTGATCCACACTCAAAACCATTCTTCTGCTGCCCGTTTGCATACTTGTTCGGTCCCGGCGATTTCGCCGACAGCTTTCCATTGTACTGTCTGTTTTCGTTCGGAGGAGTCTTGTTTCTACCGCTGCTCCCATTTGTCTTTCCTAGCTTCAAACTGTCCAACCCACTGACGACAGATGCCTCCAACTGACTCTGTCCCTGCTGCTGTTGGCCTTGGTTCTGTTGTTGAGATTGCTGCTGCTGCTGCTGCTGCTGTTGCTGCTGCTGCTGTTGTTGACTCTTCACCGGCAGCAGATTCGGCACATTCGAACTGGAAATCAGCTCCAGCCGCACAATGTCCTTGCAGGTAAGTGTCACTTCGACGCTCGTTTTCTTCAGCGGAATCCCATTCCGCACGGCTTTCGTTATCACAATCTCCACCGGGTTGACCTGTTTGATGACGCCCTGGAACACGCCAATGTCCCCGCGGCACTGGATCGAAACCGATTTGCCGACCCAATTGTCGCTCATAGTGCTCTATCGACACAAAAAAAGAAAAAAACAGCAACAATGGCTTCCAGCTGATGAATAGTTTCCTCCTCCTTCTTCTTCTGCTGCTACAGTTGGCCTGGATTCGAGTGTAACGAAAATCCCCACTCTTCCGTGAGATTGCGTATTATTGTACTTGTTATGGAGGCCAATCACCTTACCGTTTTGCCCACTAACTTCACTTCTAACGTCCTACGAAATCGTTCCGTTTCCCACGAAATTCACATGCACTTCCGTTGCTTCGCCTCACAGTCTATCGGTCATGCGAGAAAATCAGCCAAATTTTTCACTATTTTTACTACAATTTCACACTGCAACGTACGCTCATTTTTGCCTTCGACCTTTTCAATCATTTTCCACCATCATCGCGACGATTCGACGAACGACCTGCGAAGAAAAGTTTGACAGCAGCGGTCGGATTCGGAAGGGTGACTGTCGTTTTACCGCATTTACCGAAACTATGTAATGCATTTCGATTGTTTCGAGACAACTTTCGGTGGAAAAACTACCTACTAAATTTTATGGCAACTGACGATATTGGAAGATTGCCGCAAAAGCTCAAAGCAGATGTCGCCACTGCATGATGATGATAATGTTGACAGACTGCATATAAAATTCATGAAAATTAGCATTAAATCATAATTTTCATCAAGCCTGCGAGAAATCCTTCCAATATAACATTCGAATCGAAGGAGAAAACGTTTTTACGATCAGACTGATGTGCATCTTTGACTTTTCCAGGTGAACTTTCATAAGATATCAGGCATAACATTTGATAACGGAACAAAATCATTTGTAAACAAACTTTCTAAGGTCCTTTACACGTGAACCGATGTACGCCCAAGCAAACCAACAACAACACCGGATAGGGGCAACTATCACCTTTCCGAAAGTGGTATTGGTTTGCGTGGGCGTACTTTGGTTCACGAGTAAAGGGCTTTAGAAAGTTTGTTTACAAATGCTTTTGTGCCGTTATCAAATGTTATGCCTGATATATTCATTTCTTTTCACGGCTCCATCAATGCTGCATCGTAAATATGATGGTAAACAGAAGTAAAAAGCTCAATTACTCAAAATAAATATGATTTGTCATCTTGTTATCACTTTCAAGACCATCTAGCATCATTTTATAGTATGGTGCGTGTTGAGTAAATCAAGTTCCAGTGCGTTTTCCGTCGAAAATTGTGAATATCAATATGTTTGCTTAAAAAAGGCCAAAACGAACATTTATTGAATATTGGCAACCAATTCTCTATTACCACCAGCATGATACAACCTTTCCTAAGTAAATTCACTTAATTTCCACTTTCATCTTAGTGAAAATCGCACATATTTACCATTTTCTGAAAAATGCAGCTCCCTGTGGGTGCAAACTTCCCAACTAACAATTTTAGCTACAGACTAGCTTATACAGCCAAAAATTGCCTTATGGAGCTAATTTTTGTCTGTATAAGCTGATGTGCAGCTAAAATTGTTTGTTGGGTTGTTATGCATAATTTGCCATGAAAACATCTCCGATCCATACCGAAATAATAACAAATAGTTTTCAAACACGTTTTCTTACACGATTCAAGCAAAAGTTTCCACGGGAAATTATTAGTTTTTCTTTATGGACCGATTTGCCCCAAAAAGCGTCTGTTTTACTTGAAAAATTTGGAAACTATCCTCCTTATAGTAGTTTTTTTTCATTTCGTTTATTTGGCAGGCTCAAATGTTATAAAAATAACTTAGCGGAGCCGAGTAACATAGAATACCAATTATGGTACTCAAAATACAAAAAAAAATATGTACAAATATATTTTATCATATGATTTTTCTGGGTGGCGATCGAAGCGGCGACAAAGCGATCTTCTCCCGTGCACGCAACTTCTTTCTTTCCCGAATTTGTTCCTCATTTTCATTGAACCCGAATCGTGATCGCTGCTGCTGTTTCTGAACATCGTTTCCCGTTGCATGCTCTCCGCTACTCTCGTCGGTCGTCGGGGTAGTCACGTCCATTTCGTTATCTTCATTCAACATCTCCAACCCCGTGTTCGTTTCCTGATCGCTAATGACAAACGACTCATCTTCCACCACTACACCAGCATACGTACTGCACTGAACCAAAACATCCGCAATACTTCGAATGATTATTGCATTGCTCGAGCCCTTTAACAATATGCATGCGAATTTCGGATGATTTTCTTATGGTTGAATTCGTCGTCAGATGATGAACATCCATATGACTGTCATCCAAATACAGGATGATTTTCGTTTGAAAATTAGCTACACTGAACCAAATTGTCCATACATCAATGTATGATTATTGCTTCACTTGAGCCCCATACGGATTATTTTTCTATTTGTGAAAGATTATCATTCTCTGATTCAGCTCTCAAAGCACAGAAAAACCATAGAGGTAACTCTAAGACCACTGGGTCCCGAAGAAAATCATTATTATTTTTGGCTCACTCAGTACCAGAACAACGGTCCCAAGCAGTCCCAAGCTATTTCACTCACCCCTGCATGTTCTGCATGAATCCACACACCCCTGATGTTATCTGTCAAACTTTCATAGCGAATCAAAACAAACATAGTGTAGTAATAGAATTTCAACTAGAATAGGGTACGTTAATCGTTTGCTTGGGACCAATAGGCTACTAAAGTGGTGAGCCAATTTAAAATCGTTAGTTTCGTATTGATTGTTGGAAAAACTGAATAGCATTAATTCTTAAACAGGATGATTTTCGTTTTGCACGCTGTAAACCATTAGTTCTAAATCAGCATGATTATCATCCATTCTTAGGAAGACTTGTAATGAACAAACCGTATGATTAACATCGAGAAAGATACGGACTCGTCATACAGTTTCAAAATAAATTGTCATGCAATGTTTAAATGAAATATAAGAGCAATCTGAATGAAAAATATATGGAAGAAGAAAGCTTATTTTACAGTTTAAAAATTGTGATCATAACGAAATATATCTCTTCTAAATCGTTGGAACTGTAAATTAATGTTGTAAATGAAACGCTTCTGTTTTATAAGTTGAACAATTGTTTTATTCATTTATGATAAAACTCACACTAAATGCTGCACTGGGTCGGCCTCGCCCCTGGCGTCCCCATCGAACAGTGGATTCGCCGGTTCGGACTCGTCATCCACGGAATCAAACCCAATCACGTTCTGTAGGAACTTGTGCAATTAAGGATGTTGGCTCGGGTTGTTTGTGGCCTCAAAAAGCGCTTCGGGCAGTTTGAAAATGTTGTCCAAAATCTGCTAAACGAACTCATCAGCTGGTTGGTCTTGAAGATATCAGATAAATTTGTTTTGTTAGAATCATATTGCTTGAAACAAAGGACCTCCCTCCCAGTAACTTACTGAAGTCTAGGAATTTGAATCAACCAGCGGATGTTGTTCTGATTACACGTTTTTGTCGATGGCCACTTGGCCAGTTTGTAAAACTCCACTCGTTCGGCGACTTGCCGTAGTACGAAAGAGGCAGTTCGGCGTTCTGGTATTTGCTTTCCTCAAAGTCGCTGACCACCTCCTTGAGGGGGGGCTGGATCGCGAACAATCCACGGGCACTGAAGCATTCGAATCAAACGGGAACGGAACGAGTAGATATTTTTTGCCACATGAATCCGAAAACTTTTTTCACGTTCGCTTTTTCGTGATACTCCCCGTGGTATGCGAAAAAACTGTTCGAGAGAGTCGCAACAAGCTGCGAAAAAATGATAAGGCCAAAACGCAATGGGGGACTGAAACGATAAGAAAATTAATCGCATGACAGTTGTTGTATGATTTTCGTTATGGGGTTCACTTGGATGATTTTAGTTCATTTCTGTTCTTGAATTCATTTATTGTTAATACCTTTCAAAATTTAAACGTTACTTCATTAAATGGTTGATGTTATTTCCTGTTATGATATGTATGATGAATCATCCCATTTAATGTCAATTATCAGTCAATCGGGTATCTCATATTATTTTCGATGTTAAAGAAATCGGATAGCTCTGAATGATTAATCATGCAATGACGACATGGTAAATTCGCTCAGTGTATAAAACATACGGCACTCATGGTGGTAAGCTCCAACCGGTATTATCTTCGGATTAAATCCCGATCAAGAATGTTCGGTTGCTATGATGTCGACATCAGAGTTAATCAACACGACTCTAAGCAAACACTTTGCAGATCATCCAAACAGGGACGGTATTAAAAGTTAATCCGAGTTGGAGCTTACCGCCATCAGAGGACAAACATTAAGGCTCTGAACCATTTGGTGTATTATTTTAACTTTTGGTTAAAATTTGACAGATGAAAAGTTATCGATTAACCCTGCTATCCGAGCGTGGTTACTTCTGACAGACAAGAAGTTAAATTTTGACGACCGTGGCTCGAAAACCGGTCGATCGACAGCACGGGGATTTTCGAACATAAGAAATAACTTTCGAAATGTCACTTTTAACCACGAGTTAATTTTAACTCGGCAAATGGTTCACAGCCTAAGAATAGTGTGACATGCAAGTGCTTTTAAATAGATTTATAATTTGATTATCTACCATTCCATACTGAATAGCCAAAATAAGCCATTCCATTATGGACACGACAAAATTCCGTGGTGGAGAAAACCTCCTCCACCACGAATTAGCCAAATATTGGTTTACATGCTTTACCTGTGTTCGTAACAGCTCTGATAGCGATGCATATGCTTCCACCTCGTTTGTCAGCTCAGATCAACAAATGACGTTCGATAGAATTATTTACATCATCGTTTTGAATGATTTGCGTTATGGGGCTGAACCAATACCATATGCATTTCCATTTAGGCTCTGAACCATTTGGTGGATTATTTTAACTTTTGGTTAAAATTTGACAGATGAAAAGTTATCGATTAACCCTGCTATCCGAGCGTGGTTACTTCTGACAGACAAGAAGTTAAATTTTGACGACCCTGGCTCGAAAACCGGTCGATCGACAGCACGGGGATTTTCGAACATAAGAAATAACTTTCGAAATGTCACTTTTAACCACGAGTTAAATTTAACTCGGCAAATGGTTCACAGCCTTAGTATGACAGTCATTCTGCAGAGAGAATTACGCATTTCAACTGAATGCCCGATTCCTTCTCATAACAATTTTCATCCTGTAGTCGAGAGGAAAATCATCTGATTTCAAATCAACCGTCATCCGGTAGCAGCTATCATTCAAAAAAGCGATTACGGTGTTTTGTTCTGAATGGTCTGAGGTTTCATTCGATCAGAGGATGATGTTTGTGTACAGTGTGCTGCTGTTTTGTTTTCTTTCACTTTGCTTTCCTTTTTCCTTCAGTTGCTTCTCCGGTTCCTTCCGAGTCTTCCGCTTGGGACAGGAAAGCTTCCGGTGTCCGTCCGCCTTGCACAGAAAACATTTATCTTTGTTGCCATCATAAAAAATATTTCCTTTGCGATTGAAGAAATGTAATGACGTGGGGATTCCCTTCTTCACATCCATATATACACCATAGAGGTAACTCTAAAACCATAGAGGTAACTCTAAGACCACTGGGTCCCGAAGAAAATCATTATTATTTTTGGCTCACTCAGTACCAGAACAACGGTCCCAAGCAGTCCCAAGCTATTTCACTCACCCCTGCATGTTCTGCATGAATCCACACACCCCTGATGTTATCTGTCAAACTTTCATAGCGAATCAAAACAAACATAGTGTAGTAATAGAATTTCAACTAGAATAGGGTACGTTAATCGTTTGCTTGGGACCAATAGGCTACTAAAGTGGTGAGCCAATTTAAAATCGTTAGTTTCGTATTGATTGTTGCTAAAACGCTGTCCAGACTGGAGAGTTATAACATGTTATAACGGTTGTCAAATAATTGCAACACAGAAACAACAATCAAGATAGCGTTATAACATGTTATAACCATAGAGGTAACTCTAAGACCACTGGGTCCCGAAGAAAATCATTATTATTTTTGGCTCACTCAGTACCAGAACAACGGTCCCAAGCAGTCCCAAGCTATTTCACTCACCCCTGCATGAATCCACACACCCCTGATGTTATCTGTCAAACTTTCATAGCGAATCAAAACAAACATAGTGTAGTAATAGAATTTCAACTAGAATAGGGTACGTTAATCGTTTGCTTGGGACCAATAGGCTACTAAAGTGGTGAGCCAATTTAAAATCGTTAGTTTCGTATTGATTGTTGTTATAACTCTGTAGTCTGAACGTACTATAAGACCACTGGGTCCCGAAGAAAATCATTATTATTTTTGGCTCACTCAGTACCAGAACAACGGTCCCAAGCAGTCCCAAGCTATTTCACTCACCCCTGCATGTTCTGCATGAATCCACACACCCCTGATGTTATCTGTCAAACTTTCATAGCGAATCAAAACAAACATAGTGTAGTAATAGAATTTCAACTAGAATAGGGTACGTTAATCCGTTTGCTTGGGACCAATAGGCTACTAAAGTGGTGAGCCAATTTAAAATCGTTAGTTTCGTATTGATTGTTGGTTTTACGGTGAGAAATATTCAATGATTTTGTGACCAGCAATGCATTAGGTATAGGAAAAACGTCACGATAGGGAGGGGGGTAAATTTCTCCTCGATTTAGCGTGACATAATTAATGCATGGGCCCTAATCTACAAGTAACCGGAACATTCATTGCCAGGATTTCGGATAACGTATTCTCTCACGGAAAAAGTTGCCTCGTTTCATTTGAATAATGGTATTTGTGTTTACTAAAAATTAAATAATACGTACATACAGGTTGACATTCCGTTTTAAACTTTCCGAATGAACTAGTTTCGATCGACCAGCTCTCAAATCACTTCAATGTGCGCATAACCATTAGCGAAAGAAAAACAGTGATTCGCCAGTGAAATCCATCACTGGACAGCAACTTTCTTAGCACTTCACGTTCCTTAACCGCCTTGTAAATATTTTCCCATCCTGATGACTAATGATTAAAACTTCGTTGGCAACAGGGTGGTTCCTATTGCGTCCAAAGGGTTTTCCGGGTTTTTTGTTTTGTTGTGCAATCCACCATTTCTCTGCAAGGCACTCCCTCTTCTCTTCCGTTGGTATCACCTCGAAATACTTTCATCATTCCTCAGTAAAATTGATTGTTTTTTTTTCTCCTATTGTGGTTCTACGAAAAGACTCGCGCGCGGTTTTTATGGCAGACTTTCTGTAGCGTAACTGAAAAGTTGATTCCCCCTTCTAGGCTGATTGTTTGCTTTCCGTTTTCCTCGCTTCTGTACACCTATCGGCTACACCTAGATACAATTAACACGGCTTGCTTCTCTTCTAGGGAAGTTTATTCCTTTTTTTGTGTGTGTGTGTGTGATTATTGTGTTCTTGTTCTAAAGGGAATGTAGTGAAGTAGATCGAATAACGGCTCTAATCTACTCCGGCGAAGCCTTGGCTGCCTTCGATGGCTTTCACTAGCTTGTCTTTTAGGTGCGAATAGCTCTCGTACGGTGGGAGATCCAATCGGTTAAAGCTTTATTTGGAAGAGAATAAGGAATTAAATTTTGAATCTGCGCGTCGCCATCCCTACTTACCATGTGTGCGCCCGCGGAAAGTTGTCCGGTGAGCCCCACTTCTCGATGGTGAACATCTGTGGACCGTTCGAGCCGTACAGCTCCTTGAACCCATTCATCGGTACCCTCGAGGTGCCCGTCACGAATTGCAGTAGCCTCGATCGCATCTCGTTGTTGAACGAAAGAACCGCCCTCCAGAACCACTGCACCACCACATGATTCGCGTAGTAATCACCCTTGTATAGCGTATTCTTTTTCCAATCATTTACATCGATGCTCTGGATACCACACATGAGTAATTCCAGTTCATTCTCGTCAAAGATCTTCAACAGATGCAGTGGAATCAGCGAACCGAATCCATCCAGGAAGCCTTGCATCTGGCTCTTCACTCTGGCCACGAACCTCCACTCGATCACTAGTTTGATGTACTCGTCTTTGTTTTCGTTATTCACCTCAATATTGGCCCCATCGGGCTTCAGTTCCCGTTGACTAGTGGTTCCGAAACTCTCCTCATCGACGCTGAAGGTCAACATTAGCTCCGACGGGTCGTTTTCCTTAATGTACAGCAACGAGTTGTAGTACTCCGTATCGACGGATTCCATATCTTTCAGATCGATCTGCTTCTGCAGCATCATTTTGTAGAACGGCCGAATGAAGAACGCTTCCAGCAGCTTTCCATGGTACACGGCCATGCCTGCTATTCGGCCAATGAATCTGTGGAACGAATGCAAAATTACCGGAATGTAGCGACGAGGGGAATGAAATTCCGTGTCTTACTTGAAGTAATTCAGATGCTCCTCATTGCACAGGCCACTGAATGGGTTGATCTGCAGGGTGTAGTTGTCCATGGCCGAGTACTCAAACAGACCGTAGTAGGGGTTGAACATCTCCTTCGATAGCAGATAGAACCATTCCCGAGCCAGGCCACCGTAGTCGAGACCCGCCTCGCTCTCGAATTCGACCCACAGTTTCGTTTTGAGCAGATCCACCTTCGTCACCGAGTTGATGATCCGGTACGAGTCCTCCAGGATCGACTGCCGCCGTACTTTGATGTCGATTTTGTTCGGTACGTTGGTCTGGAAATGAAAGGGGTAGGGAGGGGGGTTTAGGACGGTTCATCAGGTGGCTAATTAGAACGGTCTATGGCTATGATCTATGACGAGTAAACTAACGGAAATAGTGACCAAATAGAGGCTTTAAAACACTCTGTATTCATTTTTTTTTTGACTCGATTTAAGACAACAAACAATTCTAGATAGAGCTAGAATTAGGGCGTAACAGCTTTTGTAAACAATGACTTCTCTCGGTGATTTCTAGAAAGTTAAGGCTTACCCACGCAAATCAACATCATCATTGGATAGGGAACGCGTGGACGGGCCTTTAATTCCTAGAAATCATCGAGAGAAGTCATTGTTTACAAAAGTTGTTTCGCCCTAATTCCAGCTTTATTTAGAATTTATTACGATGATTTTAGATTCAGATCGCGAATGGGAGAAGTCTTTGGACAAATTTCGATAATCAATTTTAAAGATTTCAACGAGGAAAAGCTTCCAAGATGAAAAGATCGCGGGCATAGAAAATTGTACCTCCCTACTGCTGCCTGGTGAACGCATCGGCCCTCAGATCATCAATGCTATTTCGATGTTCCCAACATTTTCAACGCTAATGATTTTATTACTATGAGTCATAATCTACTCACCGGCTTCTTGAGCTGACTCTTGAGATACTCGTACTTTTGCTTGTAGTCCCTGGAGTAAGGCACCGCCTGGCCGGCAATTTTCGGATTCGACAGCCGCGGATCATCCCACTGCGTCGTGCGGGTGTTGTGATCGATGAAGAATGTCCTACCGTCGTTGTGCACCCGTTCCTCCCAGCCCTCGGGCAGCGGGCCCAGTTCGTCGTCCTGATGCCGGGCGTTCGCATTCGCCGCACCGGCACCGGTTGCCGCCTGGTTTCCACTGTTCAGGGCAGCATTCGGAATAGCACTGGCCACACCAGATCGTGGATCTACCCAAGAGGTTTTCTTATTGCTGTGATCGATGAAGAACAACCGCCCGTTAGCTGCGTACTGCATGCTCCATCCTGGCGGCAGACCTTCCGCGCTGGGTAGCTGGGGTTGCTGCTGTTGACCATCGCCAGTCGGTGGAGCAGACGAACTCGGCGGCTCATCCGCTGTCTGCAAATGAACAATGTAGCAAAAATGCAATGTTTATTATATTCCCATCGTAAACGTTACCAACACCCTACTCTGGTTGATTTAGATCTACAGTGTAAATGTTTTAGTTTGATACCGAACTACCAATTGGTTCATTGATCAATTTGCAAACTTTCACTCGGAGTTAGTACGTGTCAATCCGTGCACAAGTAAGGAAGCTCCCACAACCAAATTCTAACTATAGCTACCAGTGAGGGAAGTTATTTTGCACATCATTAGAAGATGAAAAAAAAATGCGGCGTAAGCTTGAACCTGTACCTCCCTACTGCTGCCTCCGGTATCGTTTAACGGCGAGTTGTCGGCATTGTTGTTGGCTCGGTCGTTGTTATCGTCCGGCGAGTGTCGTCCGTTTTCCGTGGTACTCCTGGGCGCAGGTACGGGGGGCTGTGGCGCTAGCCGCCTTCCACTAATCGGGGTATTGCTAGTGGAAGAGGCCGCCGAGGAAGCAGGCGGTAACGGCGCCGTCCGGATTGGTCTACTACCGTTCGAAAGTGATGTAGACGACGGCGGCGGCGGAGATAGACCGATTCGTGGAATTGAACGGGAGTTTTTTTGTTTGGTTTTTTTTTTGGAATATAAAATAAGGTTTACGTAAGAAAGTTGCGCTTATGAAGATTGAAATTCAGTGGTAATCAACCTGCTGCTGTTGTTGTTGATGTTGTTGTTACTGCTCGCACTAGCATTCAGCGAGGCTACGGATCCACTCAATGATCGATCCAATCGGAGACTAGCATTGCCTTCGGAGGTTATACTTAGGCTATCCTACGATGAACGAAAAACAGAACTGGAGTTGGTATGTGCTGTATGTAGAACGTATAATTAAAATACTAATTTGCAAGCTGGTTAATAGCGATCGCAAAGTCTTAGTGCTACTGTAGTGACGAGCGAAACGAGTTCCACTAGAACCAAAACAACACTGGTTTATAAATCTCATATTCTCATATGATTGAGAGAGCATCGCGTCTGACGTGATGCTGTATAGAATGCGAATGATTGTATCTCGAGCGCTTCGTTATCAGTTGCGCTTAGTTCCTTTAAACCGTCGCACGTCGTAGAAGCACTGCGAAATTACTCCTCCTGCATACTACCAATTAATAATTACTCGACACAGCTATGAAATTTATACTTGGGTAAGCGAATGTTTAATTGTCACATCAAGTGCCCCGTTTCACTCTGTCTATTTCAGATCAATTTTTCTGGTCTTCGTAGCCTATCGACCGGCGAGCGGGGCAGTTAAAAATTACACCTGCCTTCCAAGCAGCTTCACCGGAATGTGCATTCTGGCCCATGTATTCTACATTCGAACGAACGACACCAAGTACATTTTCCCGCAAAATCAATCACACATCCGCATCGGAAACGATGGTTGGGCGAAAGCAATAGACTCTTACGTCGAGTTTTTCGATGCAAAACTGTACGCAGAACTGGGACACCCACAAGCGTTGGAAATAATGGATTCAGAAATGGAGACCTTGGAAATTCCACGAGCACTTCACCACGGCAACTTTGCCGATAATAGACTGCAGACATTCTGGATCGAAGAAGGCGTGGGCGCTGAACCCGCCCTAAGCTACTTGGATCTTGGCCGAAACAGCATCTCCAATTTGACCAACATCACCGTTTTCATCAATCTGGAAACGATCTACCTGGAGAGTAACGAACTAGAAACAATCCATCGGAACATATTCAGGAACTTTACTAAACTCAAACTCATCAACCTTAACTACAATCAAATTACCCAGTTATCCGGAGATTACTTCCCTCCATCACTCACCTACCTAGGATTGTACTACAACGAATTAAAAACCCTCAATTACAGTGCCATGAAGCTTCCGTTGCTAGAAATTCTCAATCTAGAACGGAACCAGCTGGTTACCATCGATACGGCCAAACTGCTCCTTGCAGCACCGAAACTAAAAATGATCCGCCTGGGACACAACGATCTTCCAAAGGATGTGCTCCTATCGGCAATGGAATTCCTCGATCAGCACAACGTCAGCTATCGAGACGAAGCGGGAGATGTATCCTGCTACTATGACGCGGAGGAAATCGAAGGCGTATGCATGAATATGCAGTTCATGACTGGCTGGTTCAAGGCGGTCATACTCAGCGTCCTGACGGTGACTATTGCGATCGTTTTCATTTTTCTAGTGCGATGGGTGTTTATCGAAATGAATAAGTAAGCGCGGCTAAACATCGAACTATGTAGAAACTGCACCCTCTTCGAGGAAGCTGCCTTGATGTGCTGATGGAGATAAGACCGCAATGTTGTTTACCAAACATGATCATCAACGAGGGATGATACCATAACTGTAGTTCTCTGGGAAAAGTGTAGCCGCTTTGTCCGAGATTCGTAGAAAAAGAAAAGTAAATAAAGCCATCTGTGGGCGGAAGTGGATTTGATGAATTCATTTACGATTGACGTCCTATTCGCTGGAAGAAGCTGCATTAGTTAGGTCGTGCTTGAACGGGAAACCGATGGTGAAAGTGTGATTAGTTCTTACTGATTGTAGACTGCTTCTGTTGACTTATGATGCAGTTGGAAATTGAGATGTCATTAATTACAGATTTTGTTTCTCTTTATAATCGAACACAGAACAGAAATGGAACTTCTGATCCTAAAATTATTTTTGTGAACACTAGCGCACCTAGAAGGCAAGCTTTGTCTGCAGTTTGCATGGACAGCAGGCTTTGATGGTGTGAGTGCTCATAGAAAACCCATGTGAAGCGCATCCACAAGCATCGCTTGGTGTACCAAATTTAATTCCCACTTTTCGATACATTCATTCGTTCACACTTCGACTTCTGTTCTGTGCTTTCAGCCTTGGGCTGATTCGTCTCCGATTAAGTACATAATAATTGAAACTTTCATAACCATCGTACCTAGGATCAGGGTGCCAATGAAATGTATGAGAAAAAACTGACCGTCGAATTTTTCAAACCGACTATATCAGGCGTAACATTTGATAACGGCACATAACCGTTTGTAAACAAACTTTGTAAGGCCCTTTACACGCAAACCGAAGTACGCTCACGCAAACCAACGACATCATCGGGTATGGGCCTTTCTCATCTTTCCGAAAGTGGTATTGGTTTGCGTGGGCGTACTTTGGTTCGCGTGCAAAGGAACTTACAATGTTTGTTTACAAAAGCTTTTGTGCTGTTAGGTGCTGCCAACAGAAATTCCAGGAAATCTCTACGGTATTTCCCATGTTTTTGGTGGAGATGCCAACGGATATTCTACGGAATTTCAGCGGAGTTGTCTCACGTTCTCAGCGGAGCACGTTTTGCTCGATTTTGATGTTGGAAGTTGGAGATTTTCATTGCAAGGAGTTTCTCGTGAATTCTCTACTCTACTCTCTAACGACGAGTTTTCTTTTCCTGTTGTGTTTGTTATCTTCGCCTCGATGCATGTATGTATGTATAGGTGTAACTGAAAAAGCGCATGCTTTGTTTTGATGTTCACTAACGATTTTAAATTGGCTCACACACTGGAAGGGCCTATCGGTCCCAAGTACATCGATTAACGTACTCTATTCTAGTCGAAATTCTAGTACTGCACTATGTTTGTTTTGATTCGCTATGAAAGTTTCACAGATAAAATGAGGGGTTCGTGGATTTTTCTATAATTCGAGGGGTGCATTGATTAGCTTGGGACCAAAGAGACTACCAGAGCTGAGCCAAAAAGTTAAGCACGTTTCTTCGGGACCTTCTGGCCTTAGAGTTACAGCACAGGACAAAATAAATTATACGCTCAACCCAAAAAAGTACATTACATCATATTTTTGCTATTTTGCATGCAATTTCAGCAGTATATTCAGAAAAGTTCAAGTAAATATTTATCATGGTGCATTCAATTAGCTGAATGAAAATTGTTATAGTATTTTTGTTACAAATTTAAATAAATATATGCTCACTTTTGTGCTTGGACAAAATAAATCATACACCCCTTTTTTAGCCATCGAATAAAAACAAAATCTGAAGATTTGGCATCACGGCGTAATATTTGACAGTTCTTGTTCCGGGAAGCGTGCGCATCGCACCATTGTGTTTTGTTTGCGTCATTTGACGAGTGAAAAATGTCGGAAAAGCAGATTTCGCTCGATGTTAGAAATTTGGTGATTCGCGATCGTGAAAAAGGAATTTCTTTTCGGAAAATTGCCGAAAAGTACTCGATCTCAGTTGGAGCTGCTCAGCACATATGGAAAAAGTACGAAACACGAGGAATTGTGAGGAATTTATCCGGACAAGGACGTCATCGTGCGACAAGTAATCGTGATGACATCAGAATTGTTCCAATGGCTCAGCAGAATCCAAAAGTATTCGTCGAGGCATATTGTGGAATCGATGGATCTCAATGTAAGTCGACGTACTGTTCGCCGGCGACTTAATGAGAGCGGTTTGAAAAGCTGTTTGGCATCGGAACCAACGGAAGCGACTGGAATTTGCTAAAAAGTAAGCCGGAATGACTGTGGACTTCTGGAAACGAGTTCTGTAGACGGATGAGAGCAAATTTGAGTTATTTGCAGAATCAAGGATTTGGCGAGGTTCCGGTGGCGCTCTTAAGGAACCATACATTCAAAAGACGGTTAAACACGGAGGCGAAAATATCATGGTATGGGGAGCATTTACGTGGTCTGGTGTTGGAAGCTTGGCTCATATAAAGGGAATAATGACTGCAGATGTGTACATTGACTTGTTAAGTGAAAATCTGGATGTTTCGCTACTGAAAACTGGCCTGGAATCCAATTACATTTTCCAACAAGATAATGACCCAAAGCACACAGCGAATGGCCTTCCCAATCTCCCGATCTCAACCTAATTGAGAATGTGTGGTCTTACTTGGACAACAAAGTGGATAAAGCATCGGTTTCCAACAAAAACGTTTATTTTGAAGCACTTGAAGCAGCGTGGGAGAATATCGATTTAGGATATCTACAAAACCTTGTCGAAAGTATGCCAAGACGGTTGGAAGCAGTGTTGAAAGCAAAGGGTGGTCATACCAAATACTGAGAGTGTTAAAATGTAAGTTGAAAGTTGAATTAAACAAGAATTTTCAATAAGAAATCAGATCTTTGATTTATTTTGTCCAACTCGAAATTCTCCTTTTACAACTTTGAGAAAGTCATACAATATTTTTGATTATTCTATACCTGCACAGTTTTAGCGAAAAACATACAGAAGTATTGCAGAACAAACCATTATTGTATGTTTGGATCTACCTGTTATATCGAGCTCCAAAGAAAAATTATATGGGCGTATGATTTATTTTGTCCAGTACTGTACCTCTATGGTCAAATCACGATTATTTTTTCGAAGGGACGCATCAGCTTTTGTAAACAATGCATTAGATTGCCGATTTGGCGTAACTGGTAGCTGGCCCACGCATACTAAAACATACAGTTACGCCATATCGACGATCAAATCTAGATAGAACCGGAATTAGGGCGTAACATTTTCTGTAAACAGTGTTGACCGATGTCAACAAACTGGTTGCATCAATAAACATCGACCAGCGATGAGATTCCCGTGAAAGTCGTTCGCTCTTATTGAGGTTAGTGAATTGATAGTCGAACTTAAAACCAACAATCAATACGAAACTAACGATTTTAAATTGGCTCACTACTTGACTAGCCTATTGGTCCCAAGCAAATCGATTCACGTACCCCATTCTAGTCGAAATTCTACTACTACACTATGTTTGTTTTGATTAGCTATGAAAATTTGACAGATAAAATGAGGGGTTAGTGGATTTTCCTATGTTTCTAGGGGTGAATCGATTAGCTTGGGACCGAAGATAGTACCAGAGCTGAGCCAAAAAGTTGAGCTCGTTTTTTCGGGACCTTCTGGTCTTAGAGTTACCTCTATGATTGAACCTTCCGAGATGAAGTTGTTGATGTCGTCCAAAATAGGTGATAGTGCACTTTACCGGCTTCAGTTCGCTAAGGGCTCCGTCAAGTTGCAGGAGCTTTGAAAAACCAGATCAGTATTAAATTTAAATTGCCAGATAGAGCTGGAATTACGGCGTAACAGCTTATGTGAACAATTATTTTCTCTCCATGATTGCTCGGAATTCAAGGCACGCCCACGCAAACCAACATAAACACCGGGTAGGGGAACCCTTCCGCTACCCGACGGTGATGTTGATTTGACTGGGCGAGCCTTGACTTTCTAGAACACTAGAGATTACTGTGTTCTCATTCCGGTCCAGTCCAAGAATTTTTCGGTTTGAATAACGTTTCGACTACCTTGGAAATATGGTATGATTGTGCTTGCCACACAATATACGAATACAAGAATGGTGCAGGCTAAGAAAGCTCTCCATTAATAACCGTGGAAGTGCTCAAAGTTTGTTTGTTTATTTATGATCTGGCAGTGTAAGGGGTAATCCCTTTTAAAATACTACCTCCGTGTTGTAAAATGTTTTGTACATAATATCGAATGTCGTCAGTTATATAATACAAACACTAAACTATGTCTAATCTTTATCGACAATTCCAAAACTCGAGGCAGCCCCTCTTAAAATTTGCTTCCGAAGTCGAACGTTTAATCGTAGAAGGCAGCATATTCCAATTTACCACACCTCTGACGAACATTGTGCTTGCGTAACCTGACGTGTTGTTCGGTGGAAGGATCAAATTTTGCGATCGACGGCTTTGAAACGGGATCAACTTCTGGAATAGCGCTGGTGGGAAACACGTTTTGGCAAGTTTCCACAAAAAGACACAAGATCGGTAGTATTAGAGGTTTGAACATCTTAAGCCGAACATTCGTGGGTGCGGCAGAAGCTGTGCTATAGAGCGTGCGCAGACAAGCATAGATTTTCCCGCATTGCTGATTAATTAATCCATCCCAGTCCAAATCAGCTTGAAACACGAAACCAAGATTTACAGCTCTGTTGGTCCATTCAATGGGTTGTCCTTTCATGGAGATAACAGGCAGCGAATCAGTGCGAACAGAGTTACGACGGCGTCCCTTAACGAACATTGCCTTGCTTTTCGATTGGTTCACAAAAAGCTCGTTATGATCAGACCATTCAGCAACTCTCTCAAGGTCTTCGTTCACCATTCTTATTGGCTCACGAACACACGGGCCAAACCGTCTTATATATAGTTGAACGTCGTCAGCATAGATTTGAATTGAGCACCATCTTAGCACCGTTGGGAGATCGTTAATGTGGCAGCAAAACAACAAAGGGCCGATCACCGACCCTTGTGGTACGCCAGATGTTACCTCGCCAATCTCAGAACATTGATTGCCACAAAAGACCGTTTGAGTTCTTCCAAATAGGTATGAATCGACGAGGCATACTGCACCAGGGGAAAAATTGAACTTCGTCACGAGTTTCGAACATAGTTTTCGATTCGGGATTGTATCTAACGCCAACAGAACCAATAT